ACGGTTCCCCCTGTAGGCCCTCAGTGACATGGGTGGAGTACCTGAGGAGGATGATCCTGTCAAAGCCCTTCCTGACTATGATGTTTCAGGGAAAGAAGTGACATTTTTACGCTGAGGGTCACTGGTGATGAAATGAAGCATAATTTTCTGCGTGTGTAGCTTAGCTAGCTTTGGTCCTCGTCTGCCTGCAGTCAAACTCGTCTTCGCTGCTGGAGGCGCTGCTGCCTCTCCTGTCATCAACACGCCGTCCTTCGCTCTAAGCTGACTCGCAGTTTGAATTGCTGCATTTTTTTTCATCTATATATCTATAAATATGTATCTAATTAGTTTATTACATGCCGCATATTATAGATACGATATAACATACTGACATGCATATCATACATAATGAAATATATTATTTATTCTCTGTTAGGAACTGAAGTAACAGAACTCGGATATAAAAAGGAGCGTGGTAATTTAGGGCTATATAGAGGTTTCCCAAGCAGAACTACAGCGGCCGCCATTTTTCTTGGTTTCTGCTTAGATTCTCTGGTAGTGCCCTGCAGATATATTATGCAATAACTTTAGTTTTAATGCCCACCCCAGAGGAGGGGTGGTAAATATGTAATTTAATCAGATATTTTTCGGACTGTCATATAATGTTTATGAACACACGGCCTAATGGATAGAACAACTAATTAAAGTGTTAATGGAGCTGAAATCATGGTCAAACAGATAATTCTGCACAGGTAATGAATAAATTCACTACAACTTCCATTCAACATAATAAGCCAAAGTATGTCGAAAAATTTTGAGAATGCTCCAAATTTCCCGCCATCCATGGTCCATCAGTTCCAGGTCAGTTATCTGATGGCTGACATCCGTTCAGTGTCAGTTCCTCATCAGTCGTGGCGTCTAGCTGATCCTAAACCTCTGAGTAACTTCTGCGTAACTTATCCAGAACTTCTCTCCAGCATATCAGCGTATCTGCCGTGTTCCAGACGAGCGCTGAACGTGTTTCTAACTTCCAGCTACTGTTTAATGGCGTATTGGCAGCGTTTTGGTATAAAGGGGGTTCACAGGAGGAAACCGTCAGTTCTCCTCCAGACTTCATCCCCATCATAGGGTGAGTCAGAAGGTGAGTGATGGATCCTCCCTGCGTTCACGCCCACCACCAACACACTTCCTAGCAGACATGACGCTCAATCTGCTGTAATGGTCTTTAACTTTCTCTTAGTCCTCGTCTGGGAAGAACCGTGAGGTTAGGTTCAGCCGGTGGACAGTAGCTCTGATGTTCCTGTCACTGGTCAGGAGGTCCCAAGGAATAACTCCAGCTGAGTTGCAATGATCCGTGGTCAGGCAGAGGGTCAGAGCCGTGAAGACCATAGTAGGCAGGAGGAACAGGAGGAAAAACCAGAAGCCGCAGTCTGGGGCAAAGTCCAGGGTCAGAGCCAGGTGATCAGAAGTCCAATGAAGCATCAGAGGAAGATCCAGGACGAGGTCCAGGAACAGTTCCAGGTTAGGCAACGGGCAGACAAACAGATCATGGTCAGGCAGAACAGGCAGGAAGTCAGGAATCACAATGCTGGAATAGATCTCACCAATGGCTCTAAATAATCTGGTACTGATGTTTGGTCTGAAGGCTGGTTATATACTGATAGGTGGATCAGATGAGTAGTAATGAGAACAGGACTGAGCTGAGATCATGACTATAATATTGTCATCTTTAGATAAGACCTTTGCTGTATTGTTAATGACAGGTGTGTCACCAGTTGCATCTTTCCTGGCATAGCCTAGGTGACGGAAAGTTACTAAGAGAAGTCATGCTCCATTAGTCATGGGTTTTTTTCAAAGTAAAATGACCAAATAGAGTTGTTGGGATCTGGAGGTCTGTCCACTTTCTCCACCAGAGGGCGTACGAGATCTCCTGGAGCCGGAGCTGATTGCACCACCTGTCGCTCATCTGCTCATCAGGAGATCCGTATTTAAGGAGGCAGAGGACGTCTCTCCAGTGCCTGAGTGTTTGCCAGTTACGGTTAGCAAGCCTGAGCCAACCAGCCTGTCTGAACCTCTGACTCCCTGAAAACCTGAACCTGATCTGTTTTCTCTTCTCTGCTTCCTAGATTGAACCTGCCTGAAACCTGAAACCCTGAAGAGTTTCTCTGTCAGTAATCTGCCTGTCCGTTCTCTGAAGGACCCTGGAGAATCATTCCTGTCAAAGATCTGCCTGCCCGCTCTAAGAAGAAACTGGAAGGGAAACTCTAATCTGTGATCTGCCAACACTCAAACCAAGCTCTGCCTCCACCTAGCCCTCAGCCTGCTGACAGCCTCTCCTCTCGCTCCTGGTTCCCCCCCTCTGCCACTCAGCTCAACTCCAGAACAGGTACAGCCCTGCTCACTCTCATCCTGCAAATTACCTGGACCTCCACTAACTCCTCTGTCCCCCTCTGCAGTGAACCCACTCGTGACCAGTCCTGGATCTGTTAACTCTGTGTGCTTTTCAGAACCCACTCATGACCAGACTAATTCCCTTCTGGATCTGTTCATTCATTGTGCTTAAACTTTACAATAAATCTTTGAACTTTTCTCCTGCCTCTGAGTGTTCTGCATGTGGGTTAGACACCTGAAGCCAAACATGACAAGAGTAATGGAAAGTGAACTGATAAGGAATTTTAATCTAATTATAAGTTTGTTTGAGCTTCATTAAAAAAGGTCACAATAGAGTAATGCCTGACGTTACTAAGTAAAGCATTACTGACATCACTGATGATGTCACAGTTAGGATGGACATTAGGGTTTGAGGACCAAAGTTTGGAAAGAGGTTAATTTAACTTTTAACTAATTTGGGGCAATTCGAATGTTCAAAGAAATTCACAATCTAAATCCAAGAGGTGATTTTAATATTATTTGGTCAAATAACATCTTATATTAATAATATGACATATTGATTCTTAACCTTTTGTGATTGTTCCTTGGGGAACAGTTCAAGGTAAGGCCCACCTAGCTTATTTAGGCCTTAAGGCCCTCAACCAATGGAGTTGGCTGACTTGTTTAAAAGACTCTTGGTCATAGTTTAGCAATGACCCGTAAAGACGGTCGGTTCATATGAGGGTCAGAGCACCCTAAACAAATTCTTCTACTCAGTGAATATCTATATATAAAGCCATGCACAAAATCTCCGTTTTTAAATGTGGAGCGCCTCCAGAGGTCAGGATTGCTTAGCATGTCAGCCCAGCAGCAGGACAGGTCTTCAGTCTCTGGCATCTCAAAGTTTCCTGTAAAGAGAAAAGTTGCAGAAAGTCTGTTGGTCGGAGACTGGTTCTGAGATTGATAACAGAACCACTTTGGCAGTCAGAAGGTTCTGATTCCTGTGGCCTGCATGGCCCTCCATGCATGGGCCCCCCTGCAAAAGAGAATGAACCAAGCATTAAAAGCCACTTTGTCCCGGGTGGGGATGCCGAATACCGCTCACTCAGAGGGTTCATTTTATGGTTTAGCTATAAATGCTACATCTGGCAAAATTAAATCAAAAAATGTTCCTACTGGAGCAAGTATTCAGTCAGCAGGAGGTATGAAAACCTCCAAACAGGTTTAATTTAACCGATTGAAAACAGTCATATAGTGTATATATAACTGTTTTTATGTATAAATATCACAAAACTGTTGATATAAAATAATGTCAAGAAAAAAGAAACATCCAAAGTCAAATAAGTAATTTAATCCAAAGTGGCTGAGAGCCTGACTGACTGTTTTCTGGATGTTTAAACTCGATGTTCAGAGTTAATCAGCCTGGAAATCGTTCCTCAGTATCCAAAATGAATATAATGGCTGATGGCATCACATGAGGAAAATAAACCGATCCAATAGTTTAAAGCTAAACCGCCTGTCTGAGCTTAACCAGCCTTGTTAGCCGATGTCTCTGAGTCAGAGAAGAACTTTCCTGCAGGACCATCAGACCTGCTCACCCCAACAATGACAGAGAGCTCTATGAATGAACGCTGGGATATTTAGATTTAAACCTTGGAGTGACGGGGATAGGACGGCTGCTGCATGGCTGCGTGGCCAGCTGGCTCCACCTCTCCCTCCCCCATAGTCACCATCCCAGTGTTAAAACAGGAATCATTTAGACGCTGGTTTGGTTTAAAACCTGCCTTCATCTATCCTGAACAGCTACGTCTGCTAAAAGTGGAAAAAACCTTCCAATATTCCAATGGGTCACACATTTGGAGCAATATCAGCTGGTTTTCCTTAGATAGAAAACTTGGAACCAATCTGGTTGATCTGGATCTATAAGGTGATCTGAGATGACAGGATGTGGATTGGAGCTATAGAAATAAACTGAATAGAATTGCAACTTTCTCCTTTCAAAGATGAAGCTGCAAAAGATGAAAGGTCACGAGCATTAAATGTGAATAAGTTAAGGTCTAAAACTGATTTAAAAGAACCTTTTTTTGTAAATAAAAAAGGTTTTTTTACATGATAATTAAATACTGAAAAGCAGAGAAGTCCACTTGTTGTGACTCTAAAATGCTAAAAACCATATTATTGACAAAATAAACCACCTTTTTAATTCAAAAACCTTATTTCCTCGTCAATAAAGAATTAATGACGAGCATAACTATATATTTATATGTATAAATATTAATCTAAGTATTTAGGTTATTCAATCATCAGATTGGTTAAAAGTTCTTTTTTAGAAACACCTGATATTTTATCCAGTTTCCGTGAACACTACATGAACACTGGTTATAAGACCATTCTTTCTACTACATATGATGGAAAAATATTTATAGCATCAAGTCAGAGAGTATTACCTGTAAACAGAAAGCATCGCCTTCAGGAGCCCAACTGGTGCCGTTCACTGTGCAGCTTTTAGTGCAATTAAAACATTTAGGCCACTGAGGCTGTTTCTCATTAAGCCAGTTACTCAAAGGAACATTCAAGGTTCCTGGTTCCTGGTTCCTGGTTCCTATCTAACTGCTGCACTCTTCGGATGTATTGTGTTTATCATGGCGACTGCAGATCTATTAGAATCTGTCCTTAAATTACAGCCAAACTCATTTACACAGTAACAGATAAAACCTTTAGATAAATCAAACATTACCGCCACATATCTGACTCTATAACCATTA